ACAAAGAGCCCTTCCAGTCACTGTTTAATATTATTCAATTCTACTCTAAACAAGCTTAATAGAATGAGCTGAGAATATAAGCAAGCAACTAGCAGACCTACCAATAGGTTTTAAAGTATTATAGAGAAGACAATTACATTTGGGCCTGTCATAACTAAGACTATAGTAAGACGTTGCACTGAACACACCTTCCTTTATTTTCATGAGTATGATAGCCAGTCCCAGTACCTACAGGCCACACTGTAAATTATTTTTTCAAATATAATTGTGTCGTTTGTTTTTTCTCATCGAAATTGTATGAAACACCTAGAACAGTAATTCAGAAAGCGAAACACCACAACTAGAATCTCTTGAAAAAACACACCTCCACAAATACTGTTTTTAAACATACCTCCATGGATGGGGACTCAACCACTTCCCTGGACAGCCTGTCCAATGTTTGACAACCATTTCGGTGAAGAAATTTTTCCTAATATCCAATCTAAACCTCCCCTGGTGCATCTTGAGGCCATTTTCTCTCATCCTATCACTTGCTACTTGGGAAAAAAAGACCAACCCCCACCTCACTACACCCTCCTGTCAGGTAGTTGTAGAGAGCCATAAGGTCTCCCCTCAGCCTCCTTTTCTCCAGGCTAAACAACCCCAATTCCCTCAACCCCTCCACATTAAGACTTGTGCTCCAGATCCCTACCAGCTTTGTTGCCCTTCTTTGGACACGCTCCAGCACCTCCATGTCTTTCTTTGAAAGTCTTTCAGTGAAAGACTGACCACAGTATTCAATGTATGGCCTCACCAGTGCTGAGTACAGGGGAACGATCACTTCCCTAATCCTGCTGGCCACATTATTTCTGACACAAGCCAGGATGCCATTGGCCTGCTTGGCCACCTGGGCCCACAGACAGCTTATATTCAGACAGCTGTCAACCAACATCCCCAGGTCCTTTTCCACCAGGCAGCTTTCCAGCCACTCTGCCCCAAGCCTGTAGCGTTGCATGGGGTTGCTGTGACCCAAGTGCAGGACCCGGCACTTGGCCTTGTTGAACCTCATACAGTTGGCCTTGGCCCATTGATCCAGCCTGTTCAGATCCCTCTGTAGAGCCTTCCTACCCTCAAGCAGATCAACACTCCTGCCCAACTTGGCAGCAGAGAGGCTTAATGAAGAGAAAATTATGCTAAAATAAGAAAATAATTCTAAGAAGGACCAAGATTTTTACATGACTATAGTTTATCATCCAGCATTTTTTGTAGCGCACAAACACACAGCAAAGATTTCATGCTAGCAATGCATCCAGAACTGAAAGTAATGGATGTAAATAAATCACTTAGCTCATCTTACTCTCTTTTGTACTGAGTCAACTACTGCACTGAAGCTGTACTGCCCTAGGGCAACAAGACTGAGCTAGTAATACATGATTGTACTTTCCTCTTTTATTCTCAGTTTTAAAACTCTTTATTTCTTGTAGCTATCAGCAGCATCTATGGCTACTACCAGTAAGCAGTGAATTGGGAAGCCATTTCATACACTTGTCTTAACTACGCTATCTGAGCTATAACAGATTTTTTGGCCCTCACCTGAATCCTGTCCTCAAAACATGACTGAGCTTAAGCCGCTACACATCTGGGTGCGAGGGGTATGCTTGTAATGATGAAAGACTAGGCTACTCAGATTACAGTCCATGAGCTTCTAAATGTATTGCTCTACTTATTAGAAATGCTCCCATTTGGCTGTGTTAGTCAGCACAAGAACAGTAGTACATTGCCTTGCTTAAATAGGATGCTTATTCCATGGTACAAAGCTTTTACTAATTGATCTTTTTAACATCTACAATTTTGTACATGATCCTAATCTGAAAACCAGAAATCAAAAGTAATAAAGTGACTGATGCTTTTTTATTTTTTTAAGTAACAACATAATTATTTGTAGTCTTTCCACTTGAATTTAACTAGCTCCAAACAAGCCTGTTACCTTCTTTGAACAACAGTACAGAAAGTCCTTCTTGGACTAACGCATCTGTAAACTTTCTATGAAACAGTCTATTCAAATGAAAGTAGACAAGTTTTCCGAATGTTAGACTCACAGCTGCATTCACAGTAGAGCATTCATATGATTTAGAAACAAAATTTAAGGTTTCAGTACTCCTATGCACTTAATTAGTAAATTTTCATACTTACCACCTCTTTCCAACTCCATCACCATCTGGGGACCGTGTATAGGTGATCTTAAACTCTATGTCAGGTACAAGCTGCATGGCTAGACGATAAAACTTGATGGCTGAAAATAAAGGTTTAATATTTAAACATGTCTGATGCCTATACTAGCTTACCAAAGCAAAGATTTTTTTTTTCAGAGGGATGGCTTCAGCTAAAAGCACTACAAAGGTAGAAAATGTCTTTGCCTCATAAATCTTATTTAGTCTAAACTGATTAGGTTTAAATTCAATACAGAAGAGAGGCACATTAAGCACCTATTTTCAAAACTAAAAACTTCACGTACTCTTTCAGAACAAAGAGCTCTCTCAGATGTGTTTCAGCTTTTACAGATTCACCTTAACTACTAGAAACTCAATTACGGAGTACAACATTTTACATCAAAACATTACAAAGTCCTGATTTTGTCTGTTGCCCAGAGAAGTAAAAATGAGGAATATGAAAGCAAATTTGAAAGATGATGCAGGTACCTTAGAATGCCAGTATAGTACAGACATACACAACATCATAAAGGTGAGAAAGATCAACAAAATATTGTTGTAATTTTAAAACTTGAACAACAGGCGCAGAACAAGTAAATTTTACAGTGGCAAAACCCTGGAAACTACAGAAGGCGCAGAAGCAAGCCACTCAAAACACTGAGGGTGAGGAACCTGACTGGAGAAAAGCAGCCTTTTCAAAAAGCTGTGTAGCGAGCACAAGACTATGCAGCGTGAAGGAAAAACTGAGAGATCAGGTTTCTTCTAGCATACAGAGAAAGTACTTCTGCCTTTAACACTCCAAAAATGCTACAAACGCGGAGTGGAGAAATAGGCCCAGGAAAATCACCCTGTGGGAATGAGCTGTTATTTAAGCTGCAGAATGTCCTTCTTCTGAGTTAACTCTGTGGATCCTTCTTAATTTAACTGGATTCGCTGTACGTACATTCAGCCTGTTTTAATACTGGTATTAAGATCATACATGTATTTATACGTCTCTTTGTATTCCCACGTGGCGATACCAAAATCAGAGGGCAACCCTCCCTCAGTTTGGACCCTTAAAAACAAAACCCAAAATAAAAGTCAGTGAGCACGGAGCTCAGAATTTGACACACCAAGTCCGAGAAGCCTAAGTTTGGGGCAAGTAAATGTTCCTATTTCCTTGAGTTCATGTCAGGGCCAGTGACTGGCAAGTAGTATCCTTTGGCTGGTGAGGATGAGGAATACTAGCAGCCAGCTAAATAGAGATCAGTCTCAACTTTAGCATTTAAGCAGCAAGGCCTGTACTGTATTTAAAACATGAACAAGCTGCTGCACATAACTGTCTCGCAAACGTCAGGTATCGGCAGATTTCAGAAGTAGGCTGAAATGACACTCAGATTCTGGTGACCTGGGCCAGGTCAGCAGGTCAAAAGCGTGGTCTGAAAACAGATGTCCCAACATGTACTCAGTAATATATCTGTGTCCGGTGTAAGACCTGGTTTCTAAGGACTCATATAGGTGTATGTGTAGAAACAGTTTAGTTTTGTTTCTCTAAGTCTCAAATCAAATTCAGCTGAGAAAGAATGGATTCATATTCATGCCAACAGATGCCTAAAACACCTTTGCAAATGCAACTCCATTACATGTTACTACTTCTCTGCTGCTATGTTTAACATACAAGGAGCACACTCAAGCAGACGAAGCTATAGCTTTCATTTTATATACACAATACTTAAATAGGCTGCCTTCCTCGCATATTTTGTTTTTATTTACTTGGAAATTGTTGGTATGAAAGAACCTTCACAACCTACTGCGTGATTTCCTACATGGTAGATTGCGTATCAGATTTAGTTTTGATGTCTTTTTTTTACTGCGCATTTGCTTCTATACCCAACACACAAAATAGGTTAGCCTAAAGTAATCTTGCCCTGTAAAAACACATAATAAATTAGAACCTGAACCAATTTTATTACCTACTGAGGACTCTTATTTCTCTCAGTTCATTTGAGATCTGGAACAACAACCAGAAATCCCTTGCAAGGGAAGGAAAACTCCCATCGCCGAGAAGAAATTTTGTAATCAACAGGTGGCTGAGTTCAGGGGCTTCCAGAATACTCTCAGTCTTGCATATCTTGACATATTTTGCATCTGCACTTAATCGAGGTGGACAAAACCTCTAGTGGATGAGCAGGACGGCACGTATATTCTGCATTGCCTTTTTTTTTTCATGAACGAAATAGAAAAACACGATCTGCGCTACTAACCTACAGGACTTGAAGATAAGACAGGTTTCTTACTCTATATATTCTGAAAACTAAATATGAGGAAGAAAATTTTGAATTTCCATTTTTACTAGTGCTGACAGCAAGAGTGCAAGCAAGCTAAGCATCTTAAATATTTATGGCCAACCTCATAAAATAAGACTACCAAATTTAAACATTCACTTCAGGAATTCTTAAAGAAGCTATCTTGGCATGCTGTGTAAATTAAAAAAAAAAACCAAAACCAAAACCCAAACAATGAAACATTCCACAGATTAAGTAGTTCTGTTCAAAGAAGGATGAAGAAAACTGTGAACACACAAAATATAGTATATTGCCTTGATTAATTACTATCCTTATTTCATGTTACAAAAGTCATATAAAGAAGCAAGCTATATGAAAAAGCAATGCAGTGCTTCGTTAAATTGATAGGTTCCAAAATACTGTCATTTTATCCAAAAGCTAGAAATTCTTTCCTTGATCTCACTTTAGCTTCACCTTATCCTTAGAACTGTGATATGATGGTTCCTTTTATAGCAAGTTTGTTTGCTTATACAAATAATTGAGCTTGTAAATGCCTATTAGCCTGCAGTTTAAGTTCACTGGCATCATGCAGTCTTGCACATAAATCAGAGAGTGTTAAATTCCTCTGCAACAAGGCTGTGCATTGCAGAATTCCATATTACCTTCATAAAGGGCCCCATTTTGTTCTTCTTCCACTGCCTTCAGGAAAAGCTCTTTTGCCTGCACAATAAATTACACAGAACACTCCTTAAATTCCTTACAAATACAAGCACATTGTCACTTAAGAATTATTTTTCACTGTAACTACTGTACAGTGAAACACGCCCCTATGAAGGACATGAATAAAGTAATTCCATAAGTAAGACTGAGAAGATATATTCACGTTCTACAAGCCATAACTGAAATCCTCTATCAACAAACTATCCATGTTCCTGCTGCTCACCCCTTACTTACAGTCCTTCAGAAAGCAAATGGGGAAGGTGACACAAAGCCAAGCATAAAACCTAGAAAAATCAGTGTAGGATTATGGAAAGACATTAGTATGAAGACAATAGGTTAATCACCTCTGTTGTTTCTCTAGATTTAATTCAGCATTAGCTTTTAGGACAGTTACCTTTTCCTCTTTTGCTATCTCCTGTTTCCCTCTGGCATCTACAGACTTTACTCCAGGTCCTCTTGAAGATGCTCTGCTGTGCAGAGGTTCCAACCCGCTAGAACTCACACCTGGGGCAAGCTCAAACATCCACTGAGCTCTGAACATCTGGAGCTCTGCCTAAAAAATCCGATTAATTCTGATTTAGTATCACATATTCAGACAGTACATCTTCTGAGGAGAAATTATAAAGTACAAACACAAAAAATAATTATGCTTTACACTTCCAAGTCTTAAATGGTTTCAGTGAGTTCAGAGAGAGAGAGATAGCAATTGTTTTATAGTGAATTTTTTTTTTTTTAAATGCACAAGTACCTGTTCAATCTCATTCAATAACATAAGTGCTTTTATCTGGACTATTCACCTCAGAAGAAAAACGATGTTTCAAGAAGTGGTTGTTAGTACTATGGTTATGACCTAAGACTCCATAGAAAAGTATTCTTTCTGGACATGATGTTTGTTCTTGTTTATGCAGCATTATCTTAAGCAAGAAGTCGATTAGCTCTTGACATTAAAATTTAGAAAACCTTATTTTTGTACACAAGCATACTAAGCTTTATGACAATCAAGTTTGTCATTTATATAATATACAAATAAGACCTTACACTCCTTTCTCTTTTAAAAAGAAAGGAGTATGCTCTGTGAAACAAGACAAGTTCTAATTCCTGCCATGAATTTTTTCAGCATCTTTGAAGTTACATTTGTCTCTTGCAGTCATCACTACTTGTAGGGAGCAACTACACAGAAATCTAGTATTGTAAGAGAACACACTTTTCCATTAGACTGCTTTTATCAACTTTCTGCTCTGGAGGAGAGCGACAACTTAAATTGGAATTTGATCCATACAGAAACTGCTGTCCGATTTCTACAGTTCTTCAAAGAAATTACAAATCTGCCACAAACTTTCTTTTCATCTACACAGATAACTGAAGACTGAATTTGATACTTGGAACACAATGCAAAATTTATCTATTTCACTTTTGGAGGGGCAGAGAGATTAAGTGTTTGTCAGATCAACAAATGCGTGGTAACTAAAGGAGCATAAGCAATGCAGCTTGAATCACAGCAGTACTATAGTTGTAAAAAAACACTAGCATGAGAGACACACCTGAAGATTTGCTTCACCGGATCTTTCATTGTCATCGGTTCTTACCAAATCGGAGTGACAATCTTCTTCAGCTTCTGCCTAGTAGAGAGCAGTCAGACGTGATTATAGAGTCTGCATAAGCCCCTACAGCACATTCACAAAGCACAGCTGTCACAGACGCAGGTTAAAAAAAATTTAAGCATACTCCCCTTTTCCCCATCCTACCCACCTACCCCACAGATCAATCTTCATTAATGATAAAAATTAATCTTAAAATTACTGGTATTGCTTGCACTTCCCTATTAACCCAATGAAATTTTGCATCTCAGTCACATCAATCCAACACAGATTAGTGATGTACCACTTGAGGGCTTACATGCATCAGTACACTGCCATAATACTCTGTGTCTAAGTCAAAGCACAGAACCAAAGCTTCAATATTAAACAATAGTGTGCTTCAGACAAGAAACTAAAATGTAATCACGACCTTCTCATTGCAAAGAAAAGTGGTAGTTTTCATTTGCTTAATATTTACAAAAGCACAAAACGACTAATGCTTTGAGTAACAATAGATACTTTATGAAAATTATGGGACAATATGGGCAATCTAAAAACGATATGCGAAACTAAACAAGAAACATCGGAAAAGAAAATAAAAAGCTAGCATGAGAGCTTGGGCAGCTGGTTTTATTTACAGTACTGCTGTGAAACAGGTTAAACAAGACAGACCTGAAATAAGACCTTTAGCTATACTTAACAGGGCTCGACATAGGAGTTAGCTAATTTAAGAGCAAAACATTAAAAGAAGCAAATAAATTCTCATTGTCAAATATACTGAGATTTACGGAATCTGTACTAAAACAAAGGAAAACTAATTCTGGGCATCAGTGACAAGCCACTGCAATGACAAGAGCAACAAGATACCAGAAAGGGGGGGAAAAAAAAAACCCTCAACAAAGACTAAGAAGTTTATTTAAAGTTCTTCCTGCAGCTGAAGCATCTCAGTTTTTCTACTATTCTGTGCTGAAATTCACATCTATAGTTCTGCAAGTACATAATGCAAAGTGAGATTATAAGAAGGTAAACCTGGCATTAAGATTACCACAGCTACTTACAGAAGTTTTGTTCCCCACTCCTTCCTATTGTAGATAATGCTCAAAGACTTGAAGTGACATTCTGTCAGTGAGATTCTTCCAAGTTCTCTTAAAGAAATCTCTACCTCCTCCACAATCAAAGTGCAGAAATCAAAGCATTCTTGTATTCAGAAAATTTGTAAAATTTTTATAGCATCTGGAAGTTCATGATCAAACTACAGAATACTGGCAAACCTGATGGGAAGACAACATTTAAGTAAATAGATATTGCCCCTTTTTCAACACTCTAAGGCTGTTCGTTTTTAATTTCTCAGTGGAGAAAACAGCTAAGCCAGAAGGCTCCAAAGCACTAGCAGTGTTAAAGCTGAGCAAGGAGTAAATAACTTAGAAATTTCATGGGTTTTGATTCCAGAATTTGATTGCAGGCAGTTAACGTCCTGTGAGTTACAGCAGTCCTATCACGTTATTTTAGCATCCAGGGATGACGTCTATGCTGGCCAAATGGAGATAGCCTAGGAACAAGCTAGGACTGAAATGGATGTCTGTTAAGTGCATTATTATGGCATTGGGCTGACACAAATCAGGCCTACCTCTGCCCGCGCAGCGTCCAAGGCTTCTGGTTTGCAGCTGAATTATGCACAGTCAGCTCTCAGCCTGGGCAGAATAAGCCTGGTTTTATCTGCGAAATGCAGAAACTAGGAATTTCTAAACTAAATCAACACACTATCTTCTTATGCATAAAGGCACGCCCATTAAAACCTTTAACTAATGAAGTCTGTAAATAATTTAAGAGTAAGAGTTAAAAATATTTAGAAGGTTATGAAGCTGGCTGAAGTTTATCTCATGTTCAAACCATTTTTGTTTCAGTAATCTGTTCCAGAGTCTTGATTTTCCTCCCTCATGTCTATTCAACTGCCCTACTTCTCCTTCATTTCTGAGTCACAGTCAGTCACGGTTCTGGACCAACTGCTTCCAAAAAATGTCATTCAATGCTCTTTAAAACTTAAACGTGCTCTCAATCCAAACAAAAAAAATACACTGTAATATGAAGTCCACAGCCTAAAAGCTGTCAAAAAAATCATGACGTTGACTACAACCGAAGTTTTGACTTTTGTCATTACCTCTTCTATAATGAGCACGTCTGACCTGAAGTCTCTCACATCAAAGGTTTGTCTTCTGGCACCAGTGGCCAGTAAGTGACCATCCCTCTAAATTTACCAGTAAAGCAATTCATTCACATTGCTACTACATGGTTAACTGGACTGGAAAACTGATTGCTATTAACTACCTTTCTGTTATTTATTTGATCTGCTGAAACCCTATGGTTTTGCTAGAACAAATAAGTAAACACAGTTATCGCTGAAGCAAGGATCTCCACTAGCAGACAGCTCATGAGACCACACCTAAAGCAGGCTGCAACTTGTAAAAACTGGCTCCTCAGCCCCACTCTGACAATCTACTTATGACTACTTAAATTGTAGTTACAGTTTCTGAAGTTCACAGAACATTGTACTGTAACTGCTACTTAGTGGATAAATCTAGCCAGTTCATCTTTATGCTGCTGGCCTTCCTCCCGCTACAAGTCAGCTGTCATATGGAACAGCGACTTTATCCTGCCTGCAAGTGAGACATCCTCAGTGTGTACTGATGGGCTCAAATAATCTTCCACGAGAAAAGTGGTAGCCAGGCAAGCCACCAAAAGGTCAACATGTCATAAACAAACATCTGAATTAGACCACGACCTGTAAAAAGACAGCTGAGTAGATTTGATTCTGACTTGTTTGCAAAGCTTTAGAAATCATTTGCCAAAGACAAAACCAGTTTATTGGCAGAGCTCAGTTTTGTTTTGCAATCAATGACTGCATGCTGATTTCCGCAGAGCACAATAATCACTAAACTGTCTTGTAATGTCAAGTCCTTTAATAGTTCAGATCTTTGTTTCCCCAAAATAAAGCCAAGATCAGGAACAGTTCAAACCTGACCATCGCCAGTTGAACAGGGCTACGTGTGAGCTGTACAGAACTAAGGGAGAAGCAAGCACGACATAGCAAAACAGTGACCGATGACTAATGTTGTTCTTAGCTTTACAAGAAAATGAGGAAGTCGCTCCATTTTTTCTGTCAACGTGGTAGAAGCAGCACTGTGTTCAAAAATAAGAGGTTAAATCACAGTGGTGTGGTGTTTTAAGAACTCCCGAATGACAGAAACGGTTTAACTTTGAATGAACAAGCTGTCATCATAGATACTTGAACCCATGTTGCGGTGCAGTCAGAAAAGCAACACCGAATCAAATAATATTTCTGATGTTAAAATCACAAACTCGGAGAAGCAGAGTGCCCGGCCCACGGAGCTGTTTAAATTACCACGGGGCTTCACACCGTCTGTTTTTTGAGGGGAGAAAGGCAGGGCACGCTGATCTGTAACGGCACAGTTCAGGTGTTTCTACGGACCGGTCCTGAATCAAGCAGCCCCACTCGTCAGCCCAAAATCCTCTGCGGGAGGCGGTCGTGTCCCCGTGCGGCGCAGTTACCCGGGGCGGGATCACGGCCAGGATCACGGCACGCTGCCCAAGGACATCACCCGGTGCCTGGCGGCCGCC